CCCCAAAACCCCAAAACCCCTTTAGAAAACAATAAATTATTTCTGAAAATATAGAAATATTTCAATATGAATAATGCAAGATTATCATAAAACTCTAATTTGCCGAGTTTTTTGAAATTTAAGTTGAAACCTGTACCTCCAACTACTAAAAACTCAGATTCTTTGTAAAATCTAAACGTTAATAATTAAAAGAGTGAAGGTCAACTGCCTTCTATAAATAAAAATCATAATGAAATAAGGAAATCTCTAATAAAAGATGAAAATGCAGCTATGAATAGATTAAAATAAACAAAAATACTGTAAAAAAATTTGAGAGCCTAGCCAAATGATCACTCCTTGAATATATAAAAAGATCCATTTAATTATAGTACATTACTTTCCACAAAGCCTCCTAAGGGAGCATACTCATCAATTCATAAAAACAACAATCCTCTCTCTAATAATCATTCAATTGACTAATAAAGTTTTTATAGAGAAGCGTCAGAGGTAAGAGAGCAGGATGAGGAGATTTAAAAATCAATAAATAGATCGTAAGATAAAGCGAGTAAGGAGGAACTTAATTAGACGCACGAGTCATCAAAAATAAATCTGCCATCATTTCTTAGAATAAAAAATTTACCACTATAGACAAACAGTACGACCTCTTTAGCTCTAAATAGTAGATCTAAGTCATAAACAAGACCAAGTTTTGTTCCAATAATAAATTAAAAAGAGCGACACATAGACAAAAATAAAATAAATTAGTTAGAGATAAAGAGACTCTATATTGAAAACAAAAAAATCAGGTAATAGTTGAGAAATCTCAGCAAAAACCTAAATTCATAGATTGATAAGTAATTTGAGATAAAAAATCATAAGCCATTTTATCATAAGGAAAATAGCATGTCACCAGCAAGGCATTCACCTACTCATAATCACCAATAAATGGATAGTATAATATACACTCTCCACATCTAAAGCAACTAGAAAATGATAAGCAATCTAGAATTTGAATTCAAAAGACTTAATAAAATTAAGCATAAATTGATCAAACATAATGACTTAGAGTTTATACTTCCTAAAAAAATATTCGAAATTGACGATTAGATAAACTGTGAAAAAGCCAAGGCTCTTGATTTAGCTAAGTAATCAAGAATTTATGATAAAGAGATAAGCAGACTAATGAATATTCAAGAATCAGGCTAAGCTAATAGAAATTCAAATGTGCTGTGAGATTTTTTACAAAGCAAAGAGTAAATTGATTTAGCAGAGAAAGAGTTACAAAAGCAAGACAATTATCGAGAATCAATTTCTGAGAAGATAAAGTAAAATAGAATATTAATAGAGCAATACCGACAAGAGCTAAAAGATCTCGATGTAAATCCTGAATTAGAGCTCTTGAAAATCAAGAAAATTGAAATTCAGAAAATACAGTCAGTAGTTAAGAAGGAGTAAATGCAGTAAGAAATTGACTAGAATATTTTCAAAATAGATTAAGACTTGAAACGTAAGATGAAAGAGTAAAAGCGTAGGATTTAAACTATTAAAAAATGGAAGTTGAGTAATAAATGTATAGTAGATTTTAAAATGAAGGAAAATGTAAAGATGATCGATTCCAATGAGAATCAGATAAAAGAACTATAATAGAGACTAAATGAAAGAGTAGTGGAAATTAAGGAGTAGAGAAACGATATAGAAAGATTGCAATATTACACTAAAATAGAGAACTAAAATGAGTTGATGGAATACATAAATGAAGTTTTAGGCTATGATAATGACGGTATTATTTTAGAAGAGGGGATTGAGGAGGATTAATCTAATTTGGCTGCTGCTTAAGATTTATTAAAGGAACTAGATAAGTTTGATTAAAACTCTCTCTCATTAATATACCAGGAAAGAGGCAAGTTAGGCAAAAACTAGAATGACATAAAGTTCAATTTAGTTTTTGGAAATGAATAGACAACCTAAAGATCTTAAACTATAGAAGAAGAATTAAAATAAAATTCTTTTGACTATAAAGAATAAGGAAAAAGTGAAATTATTGAAGAATAGAAGCTAGAGGAACTACACCCTATAACAATCGTTGGAGAATAAAATGAGCAATCCATTTTCGAAACTTAAAGTAATAGCTATAAGTTATTTGAGCTTAGAGGAAGTCCTTTTCAAAATACTCATCATTAAAAATAGAGCAGTCAACAAATGTTTTAGGCATAGCAAAACGTATTTTCGCAACAATAATAATTTGTAAATCCGATTGATAGAATGAGGTAAAAAAATAACACAGCAGCAGCTGCAGCTAGAAAAATGCCTAAGAGTGTTAATCCTTTAATGACAGCTAATGAAAACGCAATGAGAATGCATAACTTTAGAGCGAATCATCTTGAAAGTGATAGTCAAGTGTAGGAGGGTTAGCAGTAATAATAAATTCAATAGTAATAGCAACAGCAGTAGCCAAGAATTCATGTTTAAACTTAACTTATTCCAGAGTAGCCTCTCATAGATCTTTAGGAGGTTAACTAATTGTATAGAAAAAGTCCTTCTTAATTAGTTCACGAAATTTATGGATCTATGATCAAATCTAGCGACTAATCTTAATAATGACTAATAAAAAAGAAAGATTTGAATTAAAAGCATAATGAGTAAAAATTATCAACTGTAAAAACTATAAATTTTATAATTTTTAAAGTTTCAAATAAATAAGGCTGTTTGGGGTTTTGGGGTTTTGGGGTTTTGGGG